CATATACACTCGCTCACACACTTCTTTGGTAGCTTTTCAGATCTTTCCCCCTAATCTAGGTGTGCAAACAAGCCTTTCTAAGTGGAGGAATTGCTATTTTCACTTTAAGGAACAGATGAAGGAGATGATTGCCAAGAATCTGGAACTCCTGTTCGGAAGGCAGACAGAGAAACCTCGGGGAGTGTTTGCATTGCTTGGGCAAACATTTGTTCAGTGGCAAAGCGCCTGCCAGGGGAGCAGTTCCCATTCTCTGTGTGGAGTCCAAGCCTCCGTGGGTTCCCCATTCCATGCTGTGTGGTGGAACGGGGAGCTAGTCGGGGCCCCATCCAGCATGCGTGCCTGCATTTTGTGTATTACCTTTTCTCCTCCTCCTTCTCTTTCTTACTTTCACTTCCTCTGGTAACATTGGTCAAGTTCCTTTGTTCGTCTTTCAAAGGCTCCTTTTCTTTTCCTTGTCCACCTCTTAAGGGCCCTTGGAGGAGTAAATGAAATCATGACTTGAAGCCTGGTACATAGTAAAGGCTCACATCCCAGAAGCTATTCTTATTTTACTTTATTATTCTATTTTATCCTTATTTTACTTTATTGTTCTATCCTTATTTTCTTTTTGCCTAGTTTTTCTCATTTGCTTATTATTATTATTTTTAATCCTCATCCCCGAGGATATTTTTTTCATTGACTTTAGAAAGAGTAGGAGGGTGGGAAGAGGATGGGAGGGAGGGCAGGAGAGAGAGGGAGGGAGAGAGAGAGAAAGAGAGAGAGAGAGAGAAAGAGAAAGAGAGAAACACAGAGAGAGAAACATAGATGTGAGAGAAACACTTTGATTGATTGCCTCCTGCATGCACCCCAACCAGGGCAAGATGAACCTGCAACCGAGGTACGTGCCCTTGACCAGGAATTGAACCCGGGACCCTTTGGTTCTTGGGCTGACGCTCTAACCACTGAACCAAACCAAACCAACCATGGTGTTATTATTATTATTTTTTAATCCTCACCCTAGGATATGTTTTTATTGATTTTTAGAGAGAGAAGAAGGGAGAGAGAGGAAGAGAGAGAGAGAGAGAAGCATTGATCAGTTGCCTCCTACATGTGCCCTGACCAGAGATTGAACCCGGAACCTGGGCATGTGCCCTGACTGGGAACTGAACCTGCAACTTTTTTGGGGCATGGGATTATGGTCCAACCAATTGAGCCATCCGGCCAGGGCTCGCTCATTTGCTTATTTTTAAATCTAATTTTATAATTTTATCTTTTTAAAATTTATTTTTAGAGTGCCACCTTAAATCCTTTCTGGTGTGGGAGTGAAAACAAATACAGTTGACCCTTGGACACACGGGTTTGAACTGTGTGGCCCCACGGACATGCTGATTTTTCTCAATAAATACCTGTGCTGTTTTCAATCCGTGGTTGGGAGTTTGCGGATGGGGAAGGCCAACTGTACACCATTTCATGTAAGAGACTTGAACATCGGCAGGTTTTGGTATCTGTGAGGGGTCCTGGAACCAATCCCCCGTAGATACTGAGGGGCAACTTAAGTTACACTTGGAGCCAAAAGTTGCGCTCAGATTTTCACACTGGGAGGGGCTGCCAGTAAGTCCATGTGCGCCTTCTACAGTTGCTATAATGAATTACCGCTGGCATAGTGGCTTGCAGAACATAGGTTACCTCTCCGGGTTCTGCGGGTTAGAAGTCTGCCTTTGGCCTCAGTCAGTGGACGTCCTCACCGTGTCAGCAGAGCTGCATTCCCTCAGGAGGCTCAGGGGAGAAGCTGGTTCCTTGGCTTTCCCAGCTGCTAAGGCTGCCCACATTCCTTGGCTCATGACCCCTTCCCCCATCTTCAAAGCCAGCAGTGCTCTGTCTCTCTGTGCCTTTCTTCCAGTCACATCCCTCCTGACTCTTTTGTCTCCCTCTTCCACTTTTCGGGATCCTTGTAGTTATATTGGGTCCACCCAGATAATCCAGGCCAGTCACCCAATTTACAGTCAGCTGATTAGCAACGTTAAGTCCATCTGCAACCTTAATTCTCCTTTGCCGTGTACATAACACATGCACAGATTCTGGGGAGTGGGGTGGGGATCTCTGGGGCCCATTGTTCTGCCTACCACAGTTGGTTATCTGAGCCTCTGCACCCATTGGGAATGCAGGAGTTGAGCAGTGCTTGAATGAATGTCTACTCCATCATCTCCTCACTGTAGTTTATTGTTGTCTCTGTTGAAACATCTCTTGTGATGGGGAGCTCACTACCTCCCATTCTGTGTGGACAGCTTTCATTTTGGGGAGGTTCTTCCCTACATGGTCTCCCATTGTGTCCTAATGGCCTCCATCCTCCAGCCCCCAGTCCTGCCTCCTCGGGGCTTTCCTGTCAACTCCAGTTCTTCTGTAGGGAGTTGAGAACAGCCACCTGTCCATCCTTGCCATGGGAAGGCTCTAGTGGCCAGAGGAGGTGACAAGTTCATCCACAGTAGTAGTGATTGCTCAGCCAGGTGAAGCTCCTGTCTGCTTTCAGATCTCCGCAATGGCCAGGTCCTTACGGTTCTCCGGATCGACAATACCTGTGCACCCATCTCCTTTGATCTGGGAGCCGCAGAACAGCAGCTGCAAACCTGGGGCATTCAGGTGAGGGCTGATTTGATTACATCCTTACTGTTTTTCCTTCCATCCATCCATCCATCTATCCATCGATCCTTTCATGGCCAGTGATGGCGAACCTTTTGAGCTCGGCGTGTCTGTCCATCGATCCTTTCATCTAGTTATTTACAAAATATTTCATTAAACATGCAGCATATTCTTGATATGGTAAGGGAGAGAAGGGAGATGTGTTAGAACTGTCCTCTCTTCTGCATTATTTCACTTAACAGACGTGCATTTTGGATACCCACTCTGCCAGGCCCGTAGCTGGGCACTAAACACGGGAGAGGTGAATAGGCCCCAGTGCCTGGGCTCACACTGCTCCCAGAGCCCAGTGGGGAGGTGGACATATGTCGGGTGAACCCGACAGTCTGATATTAATGCTGCATGAGAGGACTGTGTAAGGCATGGAAGACGGCCTGCACAGGAGAAAATGAGAAACCTGCCTGGTGTGTGGGCAGTGGTTGTAAAAGCTTCACAGAGGAGCAGCTACTTGATCTGGGATCTTGAGGAAAAGTAGGAGTTTGCTGGGTAGACGGGGGAAGGGCATTTTAGGAGAGGAAACGTTATAGGACTCATTAGCTGAGAATGCAGTACCTTTAAGCATAGTGACTCGAGGTCTAGGCATCACAGATCCATAGCTCTGGATGCAGATCGAGCTCTCCTACTGCCTGTGTGACTTGGGACAGGTGACTTAACCTCTCTGAGCCACAGTGTCATCATCGTGAGGGCAACATTAATACCTGTTACATAGGGTTTTTGTGATGATTAAGTGAAATAATGCCTGAGGAACACGGCACTGTCTCTGGCACAGAGTAAATGTTCAATAAATTGTAGCTGTTGCTGTCATCATTAAGTACCCCAGCTGCGGTGTTCTCCCCCAGCATGGGAGCCTTTCCCTGCGCTTCCCAGGGAGGCTCAGTTATGGATGGGGAAGGTACTCTGCTAATTTTACCCTGCAGATTTTAGAGTTCACGTCTTTAAACGGAATTGCATTATTGTGAAAAACAACATTTTGTTACCCTTAAAGGGAAACTTTCCAAATCGATAGTACTAAGCCCACATCAGCACAACAGCTAGTTTATCTTCCCCCGTTCCCTTCCAGCCTTTGTTGAGAACATTTTTCTTAAACAGTTATCTTCAGATGGGGTTTTCTTCACCCATGGACAGTTTACATACTGTCCTGCTGTGTTCCTACACAGCACCTTCCCTGGTTAAATTCTGTTTTCCTTTTTAAAAAAAAAAACTTTTTTATTGATTTCAGAGAGAGGAAGGGAGAGGCAGAGAGGGTAGAAACATCACTGGTGAGAGAGAATCATTGATCGGCTGCTTCCTGCACGCCCCACACTGGGGATTGAGTCTGCGACCCGGACACGTGCCCTGACCAGGAATCGAACCGTGACCTCCCTCTCCCTCCCAAGCCCCCTGCCCTTTTCTGCTTTATTTAAAATCAGTGCAAGCAGGGATTTGGAGTAACTAGTCTCACCCCATTTTCCTACCTTCACTTATGATCAAGGAACAAGGGCTCATTCTCACAGGCCGCCATCAGTCTCTCACGGGCCCTGGGAGCTCTGTGCATCCAAGGAGGTGGCAGAAGTGTGTCCCCTTGAGTGGAGCTGCCTCTCTAGAGGATTGGCATTCCTGACCTTGCTCTTGCCCCACTTCCCGCAGGTTTTCTATGTGGTGGTGTGGGCCAACATCTACTCCACCAGCCAGATGTTTGCCCTGGGGAACCACTGGGCGGGCGTGCTGCTCGTGACCCTGGCTGCGCTGAGCCTGACGCTGACTCTCATGCTCATCTTCGAGAGACACCAGAGGAAGGTGAGATGTCCGGGGACCCCAGCCACGTCCCCTCTGGAGGGCTGTGCGGGCAGGAGGATCCCCAGTCAGAGTTTTTCCTTTCATCCGCTTCAGTAAATTGCTGTAACCTTGAAATTCACACTGGCCCCTGTGCCCAGTGACTCAAAGAAATTAAGTCACACATGTGATTAAATCCTCTCTGTCTTTCCTGTCGGATCCCTGTGGGTTGTTTCTCTGGAAACAAGCTCTCTTTTGAGAGTCTGGGAGGTGAGAGAGGGCACAGAAGGCCAGTATTTGTGTGGCACTTAAAGGTTACTGAGTCCCGTCACCTCCTCCCCCCATGCTCAGGAGGGCTCTGAGCGAGGAGGGTATTACCGAGGATGAGGTGCCTGAGGCCGAGGGTTGAGGGAGCTGGGTTGGTGCTGGTACATATATACAAACACACACATGCGTACATATATATGACATAGCCAGTATTTGAACCCAGGCACTCTGGTTCAACTCCTCTTAATCACTGCAACTTGTTGCTCCTCTATGGAAAATGGTCAAATACCACTCTTAACCCCTATGTCCTGCTTCTCAGGAAGGAAAAGGGATGGCAACTGGCTTTTATTAACTTTCTAACAAGTGTTATGCTGTTAACATATGTTATCTTCTTAATCCCTATATCCACCCTGTGAAGTTAGTATTATCCCCATTTTACAGATGAGGAAACTGAGGCTCAGAGCGTTGTTATAACTTGTCCAGGCCACATAGCTATTGAAGGATCACGGTGGGTTTCTACCTCAAATTTCTCTCCCTCCCAAGCCCCCTGCCCTTTTCTGCTTTATTTAAAATCAGTGCAAGCAGGGATTTGGAGTAACTAGTCTCACCCCATTTTCCTACCTTCACTTATGATCAAGGAACAAGGGCTCATTCTCACAGGCCGCCATCAGTCTCTCACGGGCCCTGGGAGCTCTGTGCATCCAAGGAGGTGGCAGAAGTGTGTCCCCTTGAGTGGAGCTGCCTCTCTAGAGGATTGGCATTCCTGACCTTGCTCTTGCCCCACTTCCCGCAGGTTTTCTATGTGGTGGTGTGGGCCAACATCTACTCCACCAGCCAGATGTTTGCCCTGGGGAACCACTGGGCGGGCGTGCTGCTGGTGACCCTGGCCGCGCTGAGCCTGACGCTGACTCTCATGCTCATCTTTGAGAGACACCAGAGGAAGGTGAGATGTCTGGGGACCCCAGCCACGTCCCCTCTGGAGGGCTGTGCGGGCAGGAGGATCCCCAGTCAGAGTTTTTCCTTTCATCCGCTTCAGTAAATTGCTGTAACCTTGAAATTCACACTGGCCCCTGTGCCCAGTGACTCAAAGAAATTAAGTCACACATGTGATTAAATCCTCTCTGTCTTTCCTGTCGGATCCCTGTGGGTTGTTTCTCTGGAAACAAGCTCTCTTTTGAGAGTCTGGGAGGTGAGAGAGGGCACAGAAAGCCGTATTTGTGTGGCACTTAGAGGTTACTGAGTCCTGTCACCTCCTCCCCCCATGCTCAGGAGGGCTCTGAGTGAGGAGGGGATTACCGAGGACGAGGTGCCTGAGGCCGAGGGTTGAGGGAGCTGGGTTGGTGCTGGCTCTGTGCTCTGTTGTCAATCACGTCTCATTTAACTCAGCAGCTACTTACTAGGCAGTGAGTGGGTGGTCAGAGTTAGGTAACTTGGCCCGATCCCACTGTGAGTGGCGGAGCGGGGGTTCAAAACCCGAGACCTCTGATTCCCCATCTCATTCACAAAGAGATTGCTCCCTCCCGGCGTTAGTTTGCCCACGGCTGTACTAGGCAGTAAGTGGGTGGTCAGAGTTAGGTAACTTGGCCCGGTCCCACTGTGAGTGGCGGAGCGGGGGTTTAAAACCCGAGACCTCTGATTCCCCATCTCATTCACAAAGGTGACCCTGGCCGCGCTGAGCCTGACGCTGACTCTCATGCTCATCTTTGAGAGACACCAGAGGAAGGTGAGATGTCTGGGGACCCCAGCCACGTCCCCTCTGGAGGGCTGTGCGGGCAGGAGGATCCCCAGTCAGAGTTTTTCCTTTCATCCGCTTCAGTAAATTGCTGTAACCTTGAAATTCACACTGGCCCCTGTGCCCAGTGACTCAAAGAAATTAAGTCACACATGTGATTAAATCCTCTCTGTCTTTCCTGTCGGATCCCTGTGGGTTGTTTCTCTGGAAACAAGCTCTCTTTTGAGAGTCTGGGAGGTGAGAGAGGGCACAGAAAGCCGTATTTGTGTGGCACTTAGAGGTTACTGAGTCCTGTCACCTCCTCCCCCCATGCTCAGGAGGGCTCTGAGTGAGGAGGGGATTACCGAGGACGAGGTGCCTGAGGCCGAGGGTTGAGGGAGCTGGGTTGGTGCTGGCTCTGTGCTCTGTTGTCAATCTCCTTGTCACTCATGACCATGCATATCCCTCTTCCTGACCATTGTCATCTTACTGTTAGTGGCCGACCTGCATTACGTAGCGTCCTTGAGAGCCTCCGCACTTTGTATATACTGCCTGCTTCCCCTTGTTTGGGGCATGAATATCCTTTCTCAAAATCGGAAGGTGTGTGGGGAAGGCAGGTAAGCCCCTGCCGTGTATCCCATACAGAATAATGCACGTTGCGAGGGCATGTGGGAAGGTCCTAAAAATATTTGTGGCGGCCAGCGTGGCACAGTGGAAAACACTGTGTTCTCAATTCAGTATCATCATCGTAATGATATCATTACCTGACATGCATCGAGTGTTTATTCTTCCCAGGGTTCTGTGTGGATGAACTCATTTCATCCTTATTATAATCCTTGCTATGACAGGGAGTTAGTGTCTCCAATTTGGAGATGAGGAGATGGAGGCAGAGACATACCCTTGAGAGCCTCCGCACTTTGTATATACCGCCTGCTTCCCCTTGTTTGGGGCATGAAGATCCTTTCTCAAAATCGGAAGGTCTGTGGGGAAGGCAGGTAAGCCCCTGCCATGTATCCCATACAGAATAATGCATGTTGCGAGGGCATGTGGGAAGGTCCTAAAAATATTTGTTGCAGCCAGCGTGGTGCAGTGGAAAACACTGTGTTCTCAATTCAGTATTATCATTGTAATGATATCATTACCTGCATGAATCGAGTGTTTATTCTTCCCAGGGTTCTGTGTGGATGAACTCATTTCATCCTTATTATAATCCTTGCTATGACAGGGAGTTAGTGTCTCCAATTTGGAGATGAGGAGATGGAGGCAGAGACATAGTGAGTAATTTGTCCAAAATGATGCAGGTAGTGAGAGGTGGAGTCAGGTGATGCAGGTTTCTGAAAGGGTTTCAGTTAACACCAGCCTTGCAAACATTCTAGGCAAAACACAATCACTCCTTGATTTTCATAGTAGTGGCATTCCTGGAAAATTCGCTGTATTTTAAACCTGTTTGAAAACAAACCCACTTTGGGTTTAAATGTAAAGTGGAGTTAGGTTGGCCAGCCAGAGAACGATGAGTAGAACTTTCACCCAGAGGACATTTTTAGTCCAGGTTGGCCAGGAGACGATTCTTCTGTGTGGGATTGTCTCTCATGGGGCATGGCCTCAGTGGGAGGCACGCAGTTAGCATCCCTGGCCCTTGTGCCTAAGGGCCAGCTTTGCCATCCATTCCTGTGGCAGCAGAAAGAGTCTTCTCGCATTTCCGAAAGCTTCCTAAGGGGGTCCCGCTCCTTTGGGAACCATTGTCCTTGAGCTGCTTTCTAATGGCATCTGAAGCCCTGAATGGGGGGGTCTCTTCCCCAAACCAGCACTGTGGACCCTGACACCCTTCTCCCGTCTCCCTAGCCTGCTTAGCTTCTACTTTGTCAACTAAATCTATTCTGTCATTGGTTTGGGTGGGAAAAGGAGACAGAGTTGCAGAGGGCACCCACGCTCCACTGAGGGCCAGGCACTGTGCTAGATGCTTCGGAAAGTAGGTGCCTTATAGACGGAGTAGGTGCTTTACTGACTAGTCCCCCACCCCCATTCTTTCCCCCGTCAGCCCCTTCCAACTCTCCTCCATCCCCCACCATTCCCCCTCCATCCCTCCTTCATTCTCTCTCCCCCTCCATCTCCCCTCCTCCTGCAAATACCTGTGGCACCTGACTGTGTCCCAGGCACTGGCTTAAGTGCTTCACACACACAAACTCAATTCAATCTCAGCACATTCCTAGGAGACAGAGACGGTCTTTTTCTTTGTTCTCCATGCCTGAAGAAAGCAAGACTCAGGGAAGGGACATAACCTGTCCAGGGCCCCACAGCCCGGAAGTAGCAGAGCTGGCCTTCAACTCTGCCTGACACTATTGGATTGTCTCAGCAGCTCCACAATCCCATTTGATAGAGAGGACGTGGATGTGTCTCGAAGAAGAGGACTGTCCATGGTGTCTAGGGGTGGGGTGAGGTGTGGTCATTTCTGGTGCCCGAGGGCTCCCTGGCAGCGTGGAGGTCTGGCCACAGGGCTGGTGTTTGTCTTACAGGCCAACACCAACACAGACCTCAGGCTGGCGGCTGCCAACGGAGCCCTGCTGCAACACCGGGTGCTGCTGGGCGTGACGGACACGGTGGAGGGCTGCCAGAGCGTGATTCAGGTGCGTGTCTCCGAGAGACCTCTCCTTGACGGCCCACTTTTGGGCTGATGGGGAGAGGTGGCCCCAGGTTCTCCCAGTCTGCACAGTGTCTGCCCGGTCTGCTAATAAGACAGTGTAGGCAGCCCTTCCCTTCCTCCCTGCGCCAGTGTTCCTTCCTGGAGACTCTTCTCTGGGTGGTACCCAGCAGCCTGGAACCTCCACGGGGCAGGCTGGAAGGGAAGCTCAGGGACAGTCCAAGCCTCACTCATTCAGCATTTATTCAGCAAACCGTGGGGCCTCCTCTGTGCCAAGCACATGCAAGGCCCCGGGAGAGGCAGGTCAGATCCTGAAGGCATTGTCCTCCTGGCCCGGTTGTTTTCTTTGCCCAAGGACAGTGGGGAGAGCGTAAGTGACTAGTATGAGGTCACCCAGTGGGTCCTGGCTGGGCTCCCCAGGTGGGATTGCTAAATCTATTTAGCACTGCATCTGCCCCTTGCCCGGTGGGAGCACAAGGTGGGCGGGTGGCGGGGACCTGGGAAGAATCTCCTTGTGCGCATCACCTGTTCATCCTGCAAATATTTACTGAGAGCCTAGTGTGTGCCAGGCACTGCTCTAGACACACACAAATCCTTGTGTTTAGGGAGCCTGAGATGGTGTAGAGCAGAGGTGGGCAAACTTTTTGACTCGAGGGCCACAATGGGTTCTTAAACTGGACCGGAGGGCCGAACAAAAGCATGGATGGAGTGTTTGTGTGAACTAATATAAATTCAAAGTAAACATCATTACATAAAAGGGTACGGTCTTTTTTTTTTTAGTTTTATTCATTTCAAACAGGACGGATCCGGCCCGCGGGCCGTAGTTTGCCCACGGCTGGACTAGACCATTTATGGGATCTGTAGAGTGTAAGGGGATCTTGACTGACACCTGGGGGTGAACTCGATGGCATTGTAAGGTGTCTGGCAGTTCAGATATGACATGGAGACTGACATTTCCTTGAACCAGGGGTCCTTTCAGCCTCATTTGTCTCTGAGTCCTCTTTATGGATTGGCACATGGGGTGACTTGGCAAGTGTTAGTTGGAGGCATAGATGGATGAATGACCCATGAACAGACACATCTTTAAAAATAATTGGGTTCTTTCATTTTCAAAGTAGTATCTTGGGATGAGGTGATACATATCTTGGTGTTTTTTTTAAATCATTGGGGTGGGGCAGGGTGGGGTGGGGGATGGAGGTGTCTGGGGTGAGTGATGGGTTGGGGTGGAGATGAAACAAGAGTAGCCATGAAGTGATAATTGTTGAACCAAGATGCTGAGTAGCTGGAAGTTAATGACATCATTTGCTCAACTTTTGCATATGTTTGTAAAATTTCATAAGGAAAAAGAAAAGAAATTAACTTAAAAAAATGTTCCTTGAGGATGAGGCAGTGGGAGAGATTAGTTGGCAAGAGGGGTGTGACCGTGGGTCTCATAGGTCGGTCACTGGGAGGAGGGAGGTCAGGGGTCAGAGGAAGGGGTCAGTGGTTGGAGGTGTGAGACATGGGCTACCAGCTTCTTGCAGAACGTGGGTGAAGTACGGCAGGTGTGGAGCTGGCAAGATGATGTGATGTGTGAACATGGAGGATTTCGGCCTGGCTGAGTTTAATCTGGCTTCCTGGGGACTGTTGAGGCTGTGGCGGAAGGGGGGGTAATGGTGAGGTGAGAGGACTTCGTCCCCTGCTCCCCTCCCCCCAGAACAACCACGTTGATTACCTCTGACCTGACCGTGGGTAGTGGGAGTGACAGCTCTGAAGGGTTTCATTCATTTGCATGTTGGATTCCAGACCGAAGGGCCCCTGAAGATGAAGGCAGTAGCCCTGGATGGATACGTGATGTCCAGGGTGGCTTGGAGTCTATCAGATGCTTAGTGACTGTGAGAGGTGGGGCTGCAGCCTTTTGGGCAGGTGTACACACGGAGCCAGTTTTCTATACGAAGGAGACTTGCTCCTGCGTGGGGACTCTGGGAGAGAGCAGAGTGGCATGTTCCCGCCAGAGGCCAGGATACATCCAGTGGGCCTCCAGCAAGGCGGCAGGAGACAGAAGACCATCTCAGGGATGGAGGGTTCAAGGTCAGGCTGACTTTGAGCCCCAGGGCTCACAGCTTCTTCTTTCCCCAGCTCTGGTTTGTCTACTTTGACCTGGAGAACTGTGTGCAGTTTTTGTCTGAACATGTTCGAGAAATGAAGACTAGCCAAGAGGTAAGATACCTTAAATGAAAAACAAACAGACAAAATAAACCAGGAGACCAGATTGTAGAGTTTGCCTTACCTCCATGTTGGGAAATGTCTACGGAGAAGTTACTTAGAAGGAAGGACACCTGTGTCAAATCAGTGGTGGTTTTACTGAGGGAATGAAGTCTTTGTAACTAAGCACATGGTAAGTAATCTCCTTTTTTAACTATTGGCATTTTCCACATTTCCTATAGTGAGCATATGTTTATTTATAATATAATAATAATGAATGTTAATAATAATAATGAGGATCCTGGTAGAGGAAAGTACCATGCATTTGGGCGGCTTTCACTTGTTCAAAATGCCTGCCCACCGTTTATAAACAAGATCAGGGAACTCTTGCTCTGATTCCACAGATGAGGAAACCGAGGCTCTGAGAAATCCTGTCGCTCTCGGGTGGTCATGGAGCCACTTGGTGACTCCCAGTTTGGGACCTGGCCCTCCTGTCTCTGAGCCCTGGAGTCAGCCTTTCCCTGGGCCCTATGGTCGGTCTTGAAGATAGGATTGTGGGTTAGCCCTGATCCTGGCCCATTGGTTCCTGTATGGCTTTGGGCAAGGCCTTTGAGTTTCAGTTTGCTCATCTGCAACGTACAGGGAAAGTTTTCCCAGGCTGCTTTGAGGAGCAAATGTGAGTATAAGGAAAAGTGCTTTAGAAGCTCTGAAGGACCGTGCTTTTGTGGGGAATGACCTGGTCTCTCCAATGTGGCTCAGTTCCACCTTCTCCCGGCGTCTGAGTCTGTAGAAGGCCCATCCATTCTCTGTGATCTGCAGCTCAGGCAGTGCCTTGACCTCCCACGTGCCACCCAACTTGGGACACCACCCGGGCTCCCTCTGTTTCCTTTGCAGTCCTTGCTGAGACGCAGGTTGAGCCAGCTCTGCGTTGTCATGGAGACTGGGGTGAGCCCCACGACGATGGCGGAGGGGCCTGAGAACCTGCTGGAGGAAGCTCCCCTCCTGCCCAGCAGTTCCCGTCCCACAGAGTGGCCACTCATGCAGTCTGAGCTTCACCAGCTCGTTCCGGAGGCTGAGCCGGAGGTAATGGGCCCCCCGGGGCAGATGGGCCACCTTCTCCCCTGGGATATTTGCATAGACTCCGAGTGGGGACCTCAAGTTGTACATTCCGAGGAATATGGCTTTCCTCAGTTGGTAGAGACCATACAGGTCTAGCCTACTAGTTTTGAATATTTTTTTCCTCACCCCCAGCACTTCAGAAAATAGTTTATAGGAGTTATTTGTTACTCACTGGGTTTCTCCCCCATTTTTAATATCTTGGACATTCTTTTTGGCAGTTTCACTGGATGTGTAGTTGTGTGTTGATGGATCATAGATTGCCTATAACAGTGGTCGGCAAACTGCGGCTCTTTGGCCCCTTGAGTGTGGCTCTTCCACAAAATACCGACTTCTGTGCATGGGCCACGAAGTTTCAATCGCACTGTACGTGCGTGCCTGCACGTGGTATTTTGTGTAAGAGCCACACTCAAGGGGCCAAAGAGCCGCATGTGGCTCGCAAGCCGCAGTTTGCCGACAACTATCCTAATCCTGAACGTGTTGATGAATATTTGGATCATTTTTAAATCTTTTTACCAATCTATCTACATGTTTTGCAGTTAGATATTTAAATCTTAGCCGGTGTTGCTCACTGGATAGAGCATCAGCCCTCGGACTGAAGGGTCCTGAGTTTGATTCCAGTCAAGGGCACCCACCTTGGTTGTAGGCTCCATCCCCAGTCCTGGTTGGGTGCGTGTGGGAAGTAACCAACCGATGTATCTCTCTCACATCAATGTTTCTCTCTCTCTGCCTCTCCCCCTCCCTTCCACTCTCTCTAAAAATCAATGGAAAAATATCCTCTGGTGAGGATTAACAAAAACATTTAAAAAAAAATTAAATCTTATATTCATCTCTGTTGAATTCCAGTTGCTCCAGCCCAAGAGTTCTGTTGGTCTTGCTAAGCTGTCTGCTGGGTTTGACCAGTGCTGGTAGACCAGAAATCTGATACTGTGTTTGTGGCTCATGCTGTCCTCTTCTCACTATGAGGATACACCCACTGTCTGGGAGACATGCAGTGAGGAGTGAGCTCAGGCATGGTGTGTGCAGGGAAGTGGGGGGCTTGCAAATAGGACCATTAGGAAAGAAAAAGATAAATATATTAATCTCTTTACTTGAACCTCATGGTCTTTTTAAAAATAGTTATTTTAAAAAATATATTTTTATTGATTTGAGAGGAAGGGAGAGGGAGAGAGAGATAGAAACATGAATGATGAGAGAGAATCATTGGCTGCCTCCTGCACGCCCCATACTTGGGATCAAGCCTGCAACCCAGGCATGTGCCCTTACCGGGAATCGAACTGTGACCTCCTGGTTCATAGGTTGACACTCAACCACTGAGCCACACCAGTCGGGCCCCATGGACTTTTTTTTAAAAGCACACGAAAGATGGATAATATCACGTACTCTATTGTGGCATGCATGTCTCGGTTTATGTGAAATAGTCTATTAAATGTGATGGGTCTTTAAATTATATTTTCAAATTCATTCAAATCAATAGTAGTACAATTTCCTGCTGAGAATATCAAATCTCAGTGTGTATGCACATGTTTGTGAAGTAGCTGCCCTTATAACTTAGCGAGAAAAAATATAATCGATGCCCACGTCTTAGCATGAGCCAGGCGTCGTATTTCAGTAGGAAATCCGTGCCTGTGAAAGACGGAGAAATAGTTATAATGACCTCTTACATTTCGACAGCTTTTTGTTTTATCATGCATAAAATTCTTTAGCATGCTTTCTGAGGTATGGATTAATTTTTCTTCCCCGATGGATGACTTCTAAGAAGTCAGCTGATGTGCGCAAGGTCACAGAGCAAGGGAGAATGTGGCAAAGCCAAGGGCCGAAGCCAGAGGGTATTCTGTTCCTGTCCACCCCCATTCACTCGTGATTTTCTTCAGTGTGTTTCCTTGACCTCATGCATTTTACAGGCTCATAGACATTGGAAACTGGAAGCAGTGTGAGTGTATGTGATTGGCTGGGATAAATCAGGGCTAAATTCTCTAGCACTTTGAGGCTCCGTTGTTTTTGTGTGTATATTCTAATCGCCTGTCAGCAGTTAGGTTACCCACTTCAGAGATAAGGAAACTGAGGCTGCAGTTGCAGAGCTGGGGTTCCAGACCAGACCATGCATTTTCCAAGAGCCCCAGACGAGGGCCTGGCCAGGTTCTTCCCAGGGAGCATCCCTGCCGGCCCAGGGGTGTGAGGACCGCTTGGCTTCCCCACGTGCACGAGCTGTGTCTTCGTGGCCCTCACTCTGCTTCCCTGCCTCTTCCAGGAAATGGCCCAGCAGCTTCTGGCAGTGTTTGGCGGGTACTACATCCGGCTCCTGGTGACCTCCCAGCTCCCCCAGGCAGTGGGGACACGACACACAGACTCTCCAAGGGTTCCGTGCCCCTGCCAACTCATAGAAGCCCACATCCTGGGCACGGGGTGCTGCCCGTTCCTGGCCAGGTGACCTAGGCACAAAGGTACTCATCCTCCTCCAGGACTGAAGGCGAGAAGTCAGGGAGGCCTCAGGAGCCCAAGGTGGCCCATGGTGAGCCCTAGGCGAGGAGAGAAGCATCTGGGGACACTCTGAAGGGTGTGTCACATCAGCAATGGGGTGTCGTGCTCACTCCAGGACCCTGCACAGAAGTGACTGTTGACATCCCCTGGTGACTCCAGGCCTTTTCAGCTGCTCCCACCTGCAAGCTACTCTCCGGGATGCTTGGAACTGTGGGCCTGGAGGGAAGGGTCGCTCTGCCATCCCGTTCACTGTCTGAACAGCCCAGCAAATGTGAAGACGACCATCAACATTTGGTCTCTGATGATGCCCCCATCTCCACCCTCTCACGTCAGATGGGGAAACAGAGGCCCTGGGAGGATGCTGCTCTGTGTGGCCCTGCCTCGGGCCTCTAGGATGACAAGGCTGCCTCTTCCCAATCTGAAAAAAAGAAGTCGATTCTTTGAATGTTCTCCTTCTTTAAGTTTTCTCCTGTATTTAAGGAAAAACAGTGGTACCTCTGCTTGTTGTCTGCCAGTACACAGGCTACCAGGAGACAGAGGAAACAAAGAAACAGCACGTAACTGCTAGTGGGGCTATTTGGAGAAGTCCCGTTTTGAGGACTTATTTCGCTCAAAGGCCTGTGTGCTTGTGGCTGTGGTTTTATGCTGCAGGTGGAGAGCAACGCCCGGTTTCCTGGCCCTGGCCCTGTCCTGGAGGAAGCATCCACTGTCACTCGTGGGTCCCATGAAGAGCTGAGCCTTCATTTGCAGTTTGGCCTCACCTCCCACGAAGTAAAAAGTTTCATAAGTTGAAACGTTTTGCTGGACTGACATACCTATGCCATAGTAGCTGTTGGCTCCTATGCATGCTTCAAAGCCCCGCCTTTCTTACCCCACTTTTAGGAAGCTTTCCAACACAGCCATGCCTGCTACTGTTTGCCTCCTTTTAAATTCTTGATGTAGCTGCTGCCTTTACTGATGTTTTATTTTATTGATTCTATTTTCCTGTGCACATGCATATTTTCCTAGCTAGACTATAAGTTCCTCAAGGAAAAATACCACACTTGATCTTTTGTGAATGGCCTGGTCCTGCTAAGGGGTAATTGCTTTGTCATCTCCATAGTAGCTTTTGCAAGTAGTTTTTTGTGAGATGAAATGATGCGGTTGGTACAGACCTGGGTTCTGGTCCTGAACTGCCACTTCTAGCTGTGTAACTTTTGGCTGGTCCTCAGTTTACCCATCTATGTAAAGGGTAGATTCCATAACTCTTAATGGCCCCTCCAAAGCCAAAGTTCTGGAAATGTCCTTTTTTTTTTTCTCCATTATGGCCCTTTGTCTGTCTGACTTCTTTGCCTTTATGTACATGTAGAAAGGTTCTAGAGCAGTGGCCACCAACCTTTCGGACCTCACGGACCACCAGTGGTCCGCGGACCACCGGTTGGCAACCGCTGCTCTAGAGCCCCATATGGATGAGGTGTCCCAGACCCGATGCACCTTTGGACAGAACACTGGCCTCGCTAGCAGGAGACCTGGATTCTCATTCCAGATCGGCTGCTTCCTAGCGGCGTGACCTTGGCTAGGTCACAACCTCCCCGAGTGTCATTTCCCTCCTTTATAGATGGATCTGGTGAACATGAAATGTAATAACATGGGTGACTTGCCGTGCAAGAGATGAGTCTAACTCTTGCTTTCTCTGGGCCAGAGGAGAGAAATCGTGTGTAGAGCAGCCCTTGGAAATGGCTGTGTTAGGCATTTCTCTTTAGCCAGCTTTTAGGGCAGCTTTGCTCAATGAGAATTATTCATGAAGGTGATTATTACTCTCTTTGTCACCTGCCACAGAGGAAGTGTGGGCTGTGAATGTGATCAGTAGAAGCCCGTACTTATCATCCAAGCATAAAATCCTGGTAAGTATAATAACAATAAAAATGTGTGGAAAATGACAAAACAGCAGTTTTCCCATGTTAGGGCTTAAAGGGTCCTTGCGTGTCCTTCCCTGCCTTTCCTCCGTTTCTAACGGTCTCCCCTGCCGGGTGGGGCGTTCAGCTGTGCCCACGAGGTACATGCTCAGCTTTCTCATTGAGGAAATTCTGTCATCTCTGTCTTGCCCACTTCACAGGGCTGCTGGGAAGATCAGGTTCCACAAATGAACGTGCACCCTAAGTTTGAAGGCCCTGTGTTCATGGCAGCCTTGGCGATGGGGAAGGTGGGACAGTGTCTGAAGTGGGTGCTTGGGTTCTAGAGTCACACTGATTCCAATCTGAGTTCTCCCCACCCTTAGGTCTCACTCCTCCCGTGTGGAATGGGGATAGGAGTACCTACCTGGCAGGTTATTGTGAAGATCACATGACATAAAAAAATGTCAAGTGCTTGCAGCTTTGAGTTGCAAGCTTGAGAAAGAGCTCAATAAATGGTTGCTATTTTTCTTAAATCTCTCACTGTCTTGTATATGGTAGGTGCCCAATGTATGTGTTTGTTGATGTAGTAGGCTATTAACAGTTTATGTTTATTCAGTCTACATCAGACCTCAGTCACTCCAGCACCGTGGGGTATATTTATGTGAATAAAGTCAAATCTTTCTTTTTGTTTTTAATGCTCTTATGTCAGGCCAAACCTTATTTTTTTAAAAAAATACATTTTTATTGATTTCAGAGAGGAAGGGAGAGGGAGAGAGAGATAGAAACATCAGTGATGACAGAGAATCATTGATTGGCTACCTCCTGCACACCCCACACAGGGGGATCGTGCCCACAACCTGGGCATGTGCCCTGACCGGGAATGGAACCGTGACCTCCTGGTTTGTAGGTCGATGCTCAACCACTGAGCCACGCTAGCTAGGCAGATTTCTTTGTATTTATCCTACTTGGGGTTCATAGCACATCTTAAATCTGTGACACAATATCTTTCGTCAAAGCTTCTACCCTCTTCTCTCTCGTATGTGTGTTAAGACCTTTTCACTGTATCTTCCCAGACTGTGTTTTCCCTTCTTTTGGTTCCTCATGATTCAGCCTATATTATCTACTCTTGCCCTCATTAGTGTTTGATTGTTAATCCTTTCAAATTATTTCTTAGTTTCAGCTATTGTGGTACTTAATCCTAATTTTCTAATTGACTTTAAAAAATTGTTTACAGTTCTCAGCTGAATTATCTATCTTCACTGGTTTTCTTCAAGATTTTAAAGTCCACGTCCTCTATCTCCAGGATCTGGTTCTTCTGTAGATCTGATTCTGTTGCTTTTTGGTCAGTGGATGTTATCTTCTGGTGTTCCTGGTAATTTTTGATTGAATGCTAGATTTTTTTTTTTTAATGAAGAGTTATGCAAGACTCTGGATATTCCTTCAGAGAGGAATTACTTTGCTTCTGAGAAAAGTGGGGTTGGGAAAGATTTGACTCTGGGTTTTAGTCCTGTGAAACCTGGTCTGTTTCTGGTTAGCCCTGACTTGCAGTTTATAACCCTTCGGGGATTTTAACAGAAAAAAAAACCACAACTTTTTAAAACCAGGACTCCTTCTCCAAGGTGAGCCCTCAACCTCCAATTTTTGTTATTCCAGGCTGTGAATCTGCAACCCCAGGCATGTGTCCTGACCGGGGGATAGAACCATGACCTCCTGGTTTATAGGTCAACACTCAACCACTGAACCACGCCGGTCTGAACAGACAAAGATTTAAAGGGATCAGCTTTAGTTTTTGAAAAGCAGGCAATGAGCGATACGTTTGGAGCCCAGAGAACAACTGAATGGCATTCTATCATCATTGTGAAGGGCAGCCTAACTGGTTGGTTAAAAGTATAGATTCTGAAGTCAGGCTTCCTGGGTTCAAGTCTCAGCTCTGCCATTTACTATTATTATAACCTTAAGAGACTTTCTAAGCTCTCTGACTCAGTTTCCTAATTTGTAAAATCAGGGTAGCAATAGTACTAACACTGTTGTGTTATTATACTAAGTTGATCTTTATAAAGCACTTAAAAGAATAAGCAATATACCAGACTTTATGCATTGCTATTATTACTCACACTCCTTCCTTAAAATTGCAGCATCTTTTAAAATTCCTCTCTTTTCTGGGGTGGGGGCAGGACCAGGGAGTGCTAATTTGATGAGATGTCCTCTTCACTCACCATGTTCACATTGCAAGAGTCAGAAATCTGGCAATGTTATTTTGTGGCTTAAAGCTCATCTGTGGCTCCCCAGTACCTTCAGAATAGAGTCAGCTCCCTTTCCCTGGATAGTAGGCTCTCACTGCGCCGCCCCGCACGTCCCACCACACTCTGGCTCAGGTTTTCATTTCAGTGATTCCGCACATTGAAGTTCACTGTTCTCATACCTCCCCCAGGCTGTGCATTCTGTTTCCCAACTTTGCTTATTTCGTTCCCTCCTCCTGGGGTATGATTCACCCTCCTCTTCAGTTGGCCAATTCCCTTTTCAACCCTCAGGAAACTCAAGCACCATCTCTTCCAGAAAGCCTTCCCTGGATCCCCGAGTTGGTTGCAGAATGCTCCCCCTCATCTTTTTGCTCTCCGAGTTGTTCTATGACGATGAAGCGATCTGCTTCTGTGCCTGGCGCCCTGGCTAAAATGAAAGGCCTTCGGGATCCCCTGCATGGTACTCAGGTTTGCATGCTCTGTGCTGTAGCAAATAGCTCCGTGTAACTGCACTATCACTCTAGGGCTGCTAGTTGCACATCCGATTTTTGCACAACCTGCCCACTGCTCACTGTGGTCCTGAGCACCAAATGGAGTCACACGGCAGGTGAGCAGAATTGTGCCCCCAAGGTCTAGTCATGTATTACAGCATCCATGGATGGCCGCCCGTTACACTAGCTGGCCTCTCAGACGCGTCCTTGCTAGGTGGGTTAGGAGCGACTGAAATGTTTTAGAATGATAAAGCCACATTTCTTTTTAAGGCACTAGGTTCTAATTGCTCCATATGCAAGGGAATCGCTGACGTAGGGCTGGGAGAGGGGAAAAGAGGGACACAGTCCTATGATGCAACCAAGGACTTTAATTGGAGGCAGCTCCTCCAGCAGTGCCTTTCTCAGGAGCTGAAGTGACTTGCTGGCAGCACAGGGGTGGCTCCGACGTCTTCTCCTCCTTGGGGGAGTTTCTGAATCAGTCTTCATGGTCCCTGTGCGCCTCCCTTTTCCTCCCGGAGTCACTCCCGCAGCTGTGACCTGCGTGGGGCTGCTTCCTGACTAGAACCCTCAGGGTCTCCTGACAGTGCATGCCCTCATCATCGTGTTGTTGGGGTGAGGGCACCTCTTTTGACCACCATTTCTGCCAGAACTTGCGTTTAGATCTGAAAGTGAAGGACAAGGCTTTGAATCACACATGAATAAACAATCGTGGTCATATCGCATTTGGGGATCGCGCATAACATGGCTTAATACAATTCTGCTTGCTTGAGCTAAGAATAATCCTAAACAGGGTTAAACAGTTGAGATCTTTGAGTTTACTTGTCACATCAGCATAGCCTAGCTGGTCCTGACTACTACACATACACAGTTTCCATTTGTTAAGTGCCGTCGTGTGGGGCTGTATTCTAGGCACTTATCTATGTTGCCCCATTTCATCCTCCCAACAGTCCGAAAAGTAGACGGTGTGTTATCATCTTCATTTTACAGAGGAAGATGCTGAAGCTCAGAGAGAGATGCACTGACATGCTCCAGCTCAGTAGGTGACTGAGGCAGAACTCAAGCAGGTATGTCACACGAAAGCCAGTGATCTTTAATATCTAATAAATATAGTCTTTAGGATGTATCTTCACAGGTTTAGGTAATTACTCCCCTCCTACACCCCCAAAAGGCTGAAAGAAATCTGAGGGTGTTCCAGCAAAAGGTGGCTGGGGAGGCTCAGGTGTTCTTGCCAACTACCTCACAGCCACGTCTGGAACCTACCGAAGGCCCGTGGATGATTCTGTTGGTTCATTCCTGCATTGTTAGGAGGCTCCTTGCTGGCTTCGCAGCAACAACAGAAGAACTTTGACCCCATGTTTTGGTGGGCTGTGGGGAGAGGAAAGGGTACTGGGGTGGGGCTGGCTCTGCAGCCCCAATCCCAGAAGCCCATTGTTAGTTCAGCGGTGTGTCATACTGGGCCAGCCTTTCCCAAGGTATCACCCCTCCCTCCCAGACCTGAGATCCCTGTGGTCAGCAGGCCCAGGCTCACCTGCAGGGGCCTACCTCTGGCCAGTCCTTCCTCCTCTTACCCAAGAAAGGGCTCAGAGCCTCTACTCTGATGGTCTACCTGCAGAGGCATCCTGTTGAGTCGGCAGACCTGGAGGTCTGAAACAGTTCTCTGGGCAGGGCTGTTTCCTGAGTGAACGTGAGACTGGAAAACGCCAGCAGAGCCCAGCACACGCATGCTGCAGCGCCCACGGAGAAGCCCGAGTTTAGAAGTCAGATTTACCTTCTGCTTTCTAGTGTCTGCTCCCGGGCTGATTCTGTAATCTCTTTGAGCCTCGCTTTCCTATCTGGAAAACGGGAATAGTGGTACCCGCCTTGGAACAAATGGTTAACTGTACGTGAATGACCACGGTGATGGCAGGTGCACCTAGGTCAGTGATGGCGAACCTATGACACGCGTGTCAGAGGTGACACGCAAACTCGGTTTTTTGGTTGATTTTTCTTTGTTAAATGGCATTTAAGTATATAAAATAAATATCAAAAATATAAATCTTTGTTTTACTATGGTTGCAAATACCAAAAAATTTCTATATGTGACACGGCACCAGAGTTAAGTTAGGGTTTTTCAAAATGCTGACACGCCGAGCTCAAAAGGTTCGCCATCACTGACCTAGGTGCTGGCTCAGTGCTCACCCTCTTTGCCTTTGCTTTCCTGGGTGTAGCTTATTGGCTCCCATCTATTCCAGCAGGGCCTTGGTCCCATGGGAGCGTGACGCTGCGGCTCAGTCGTGCCAGTGGAAAGCCTGGCTCTGCACTCACTCCCTGTGTGGCTTTGGGTTAGTCCATGCCTGTGTCTGGGCCTAGGCTCCCATCTCTAACAGGTGGTGGTTGGACCGCATCATCTCTCCAAAGATTCAGCTATTACGATCCCCGTTCAAAGGTTGTACATCCTTAACTCATTTCCAACCTCCTTTCTCTCTTCCGGGCCCCTCGCCATCGCCTGCTCTCATTCCTGTCTCCTATTCCTGGCCAAGTCCACAGTCTAACATTGCCTTCCCCCACCCCTCCCTGCTGTCTCCTCTCACCCTCTAGCCCCTCCATTCTAGCTGCCTTTGCATGGGCTCCACCTTCGGCCTGGAGTGCTCTTCCCCAGAGGTCCGAGAGACTCAGTCCCTCCCTTCTTCAAACCTTGCTTAAAGGTCACCTTTCCTAGAGAGGCCTCTGGCCTGTTCACCCTATTTAATTCACCCTATTTAGACCTTCCTTCCCCCAGAACTCCCTCTTCCTTCCCCACCTCATTCTTCTCCAAAGCCTTTG